TCAGCCACGAGTAGTCAGTAGTGAATAGTTTGGGAAGCGATGTAGTGGAGGCAGGATCCAACATAGCTTTAAGCAGAGGTATGATAAAGCTCACGGCTCAGGGGGGAGTGACCTAGTAGCGATCAGTGAAGAGGCGGGGCCAGGAGCTCGGACTCGACCCCCGCAAACCTCAACTAGGTGAGTCCCCACAACCACACACAAAACACACACACAACTACACACACAAAACCACACACACTACACACACACACTAACACACACACTACACACACGCATTTACACTACACTACACACACACACACTACACTACACACACACACTACACTACACCACACACAACACTACACACACACATACATACACACACACACTAACACCAACACACTACACACACACCACTACACACACACACTACACACACACACTAACACCACACACTACACACACACACTACACACACACTACACACACACACACACACTACACACACACTACACACACACTACACACCCCCACACACTAACACACACACACACAACACACACACACACTACACACACACACACACACACACTACACACACACACACACACAAACCCTACACACACACACACCCCCACACACCCCACACTACACACACACACACCCCACACACACACTACACACACACACTACACACACACACACACACACACACACTACACACACACACTACACACACACACTACACACACAAAACTACACACACACACTAAAACACACACACTACACACACACACTCCAACACCACCACTACACACACACTACACACACACTACACACACCTCCACACACACACCAACACCCCACACACACACACACAAAACACACACGGGACGAGGATGAGGCAGGACTGCAAAGAGACCTGGACAGGCTGGACATGTGGTCCATAACTGGCTTCTCGAATTCAATCCAGCCAAATGCAAAGTCATGAAGATTGGGGAGGGGCAAAGAAGACCGCAGACAGAGTATAGGCTAGGTGGACAAAGACTACAGACCTCACTCAGGGAGAGAAGACCTTGGGGTGACCATAACACCGAGCACATCACCGGAGGCACACATCAACCAAATAACTGCTGCAGCATACGGGCGCCTGGCAAACCTGAGAATAGCGTTCCGATACCTTAATAAGGAATCGTTCAAGACACTGTACACTGTGTATGTTAGGCCCATACTGGAGTATGCAGCACCAGTCTGGAACCCACATCCTGGTCAAGCACGTCAAGAAGTTAGAGAAAGTACAAAGGTTTGCAACAAGGCTAGTCCCAGAGCTCAAGGGAATGTCGTACGAGGAAAGGTTAAGGGAAATCGGACTGACGACACTGGAGGACAGAAAGGTCAGGAGAGACATGATAACGACATACAAGATACTGCAGGGAATAGACAAGGTGGACAGAGATAGGATGTTCCAGAGAGGGGACACAGGGACAAGGGGTCACAACTGGAAGCTGAAGACTCAGACGAGTCACAGGGACGTTAGGAAGTATTTCTTCAGTCATAGAGTTGTCAGCAAGTGGAATAGCCTAGCAAGTGAAGTAGTGGAGGCAGGAACCATACATTTTTTTAAGAAGAGGTATGACAAAGCTCAGGAAGCAGAAAGAGAGAGGACCCAGTAGCGATGAGTGAAGAGGCGGGGCCAGGAGCTGAGTCTCGACCCCTGCAACCACAATTAGGTGAGTACAATTAGGTGAGTACACACAACCACACACACCACACACACACACACACACACACACCACCACACACCACCACACACACACACACACACACTACACACACACACACATACATACACACACTACACACACACTACACACACACTACACACATACTACACACACACTACATACATACATGCACGCACATACACGCACGCACTACCATCCTCGCCTCATGATCCACCACCTCTGTCTTCCTGTTCCACACCAACCATCCTTCCTTGTCCTTCCCTACACCCTGTTACACTTCTCTCTCCCTCCCTTACTTTCCACCACCCTCCTTCAACTGCAAGTAGTCACCAATTTGTATTTAAGCTCTGAATGGAGGAAAACACAGACTTCAGTCATAATGGAGACGAAATTCACAGAATAGCAAATGAGGTGTTCCAAGTAATGAGAAAAGAATAGAGGACAGAATGAAATAACTGGCATGACACTGATAATAAAAAAAGTCTCTAGAGGCTTCAAGAACTCGTGAACAAGGAAACTGGGAAGGGGAATTATAAAAAAATATGTAACAGGTACAGCAGCGCCCAGGTACAATAATGCCCAAAGGAACGATTGTAATATGCATAACACCCCACCTAACAATGTGAGGTCAAATGCGCAGTAGAAGCATAACATCGAACACTCACTTCAAACAGAAATAGAGAGGAAAAACCACAACTAAACCACTGATATAAGAAATTAACCATTGGGAACTACCCTATTAATATCTAGTGAAAGTTGGTCTGGCGAGAAATGGAAAAGTTTAGCAGGAAAACCAACTATCGAAGAATAGTACTTGAAATATAGAGGATAGATGGTAACAGTACGAGATGAGATATCGGGACAGGAGGGAGTAACCAGTGAGGTTATTTGACCAGAAAAAAAAACTTTTAAACAATGGGCGTAGAACACAACATCGAGACCTAGAAATCATCTAGCCTGTGTGAACCAGGAAATTTGATGACTGCAACAGCGTTATAGAAGAAAACGCTTAGGTTTCAATATACGTCCGTTGGCTTCGATATCTCCATACTTGATAACCAATAATTTTTTTTTTTTTTGTAATGACCTGGTCTCTAGAGTCAGTCTTGTTTGTAATAACCAAAACCAGTTGGCCAGAAGTGTTTTTTACTCTTTGTGTCCCTGAATTACATGTATTTGTATTTTGCCTTTCCTATCTCTTCATTGCTGTCTCAAACTTCTTTTCTTATTGTCCAAATGTTTCGTCTTTCTCTTCACGTTGTTTAAGTCTCTGTATCTTTCTTCGCTTGTTTGTCTCTGTATCTCTCTTTTCACCTGTCTAAGTCTTTGTACCTCTGTTTTCACTTGTTTCACCTGTGTTTTTATGTTACTGCTGGCCAGTTTACCTACTTACCCTGGAAAAATATTGTATTAATAGGTATGAAAGCAGTTATTCCTTATCACAATTCTTCTCCCTTTCCTGCTCTTCCTCTTCCTCTTTCTAAACCTCTCCCTTCCCTCTCCGTCTCCCTTCCCTCTCCCTCTCCCAGCATAGGACTGGAGCAGTTTCCTCTCCACCACCTCTCATTACCACCATCCTCAGTGTCTGTGCCAGAGGCTGTATCATCATTGCTCGCTTCTCTTGGTTTTCTTTCGAAAGCTCTCTGACTGTAAATAGCAAGTGCATTATACACACTCGCCATGCGTTTACCATTACCCATCTGAGCACTTGTGAATGCACAAGGGCACACTGCATAGCCTAGCACCATATCAGTATTCTATCAGTGCTCAAGAGCTCTCCACGCTGCTCTTTGATGTCTGCTTCAGTGTGCCATAAGCTAGAAACTTGACCCTAACGGCGTGGAAAGGGAGGCGTTGTAGCACTGGTTGTGTGGAGGGATAGAGAGGAAGGTTGTAGTGGTAACAGGTGGTGGTGTCAGGCAGTCACTGGTGGGCATTGGCAGCGATGGTGGTGGTGATAAGTAGTGGCGGCGGGGTGGCAGTGATGGTGGTGACTATGGGCATGGTTATGGTGATGTCGTGAGGTAGTGGGTGGCGGCAGGGCTGGGATGTACCCTCATGAATTATGCATGGCTCTTAAAATATAAATAGCATTTTAATGGTGTGTTGAGAAACGGGGGCTACAAAGTGCATCAGTAGTGTCTTAAATGGCACTACATAAAAACTCAACGAAGCAACTTGGTGATCTATTAGGAGTTTGTTATTGTCCTGGTAATTCATACTGGTGTATAATTTCATCTTTAATGTACGTTCCATGTCCTGAGCAATACGAGAAAGATTAATAGGTTTCTGTTTGTTAATAAATATAATTCCTAGCATCACATTGGGAAGGGTTGTTGAAGGAGGAAAAGATTAGTATCCTGGGAAGCAGCTGGCTGTTGATACACTCTTGCCTAGGTTTTCATCAAACCTTTAGCATCAGTAAACATTCAAGAAAACACATGGCTCTGTTTATGCTCCTGCTAACCTAGTTCATGTTTACTGCACTTGGCTGTGTTGCCGCGTATGGCTCGGTTTATGTTCCTAATCGTGTACCAAGGAGGATGTGCTTAATGTTTTGTGTCCATTCTAGCTAGCCTCTTTTCGTCGTTTCTTTTAAAACTTAATTCTTGTGGAAAAATATTCTGGTTAAATCTGCTCTTAGTAACTGTGACCATTCTAATCCTTCTGTCTTTAGCAATCTTGTCTTCACTCATAACACTTCAAAAATGTTTGTTTTAATGCTTATTAAAAAAGATTTAAGAATATTGTAACCTCTCAGATCATCACTATAGGCGCTGTACTGCTGAGTTTCTCTCAGCTCGTCCATCTTTGGTCAGCCTGACGTCGGGATTACGTTTCATGTTTTCCCCAATAGTTTTGCATGTTTTCAAAACTTTTGACTTGATATGTGACAAAACTTTCTCCCCTAAACAAATATCCGTTTGCTTTAATCTTCGCTCTGGAACTTAGCTTCCTCTCTGATGAATCAGTCTCCGTAATTACGTAGCCTTCGACATATTCCTCTCCATTAACTGTGGTATTGTGCCAATTGTGTATGTGTTTAATTACATTGCATAACACTGATGCGGAGCAATACTGCTAACCTGTGTCATCTGTTACACCGTCCATCTTAATTCCTTACGTTGGACGACTCATTGGGAGGTTGTATAGAGCGTCCATCACTCCTGTTGCTGAATGAGCCGTAAGGTTTATCCCTTCACAGTATTACTATAGCAGTCATGTACTTTCCTCCACGGTACTAACATTGTTGTTTGTTCTTGTGTTTTACAGATAAAGCTCAGCGCTACAACCAGCTCATCGACCAGGGTATCACGGATCTTGGTAAGTTACCTACCCACATGTATCTCCCTCACACTGCATTATTCATAACCTCATTCTCCTCTCTCTCTCTCTCTCTCCTCTCTCTCTCTCTCTCTCTCTCTCTTCTCTCTACATATATATATATATATATATATATATATATATTATATATATATATATATATATATATATATATATATATATATATATATAATGCACAAATCACGAACAGTTGATATAAGATGCAAAACATTCATCTCCCACTTGTAACAACGAAACGTGAGTGTAATTTCCTTGGCAAGCATTAAATATATATAGGTATCTGCTCGTGTATTTTATGTACACAGTGATGCATGTGTACACTTAGTTGATTTGAGAAGTTTGTGAGGATTATTAGATGTGTGTGTGTGTGTGTCGCTGTGTTATTTGTCCACGGATAAAAATTCGTGAGTTTTATCAGTAAGAGTATACTAGCAGCAGGTGTAATTATGGGTAAATGCTAACCCGGCCATTGTTTTTATAAACCTACGGTGTCCTGGCGCCAGGTTTCATCACTATCTTAGCAGTTTAGGCTTAGATGAGGAAGAGATGAAAGGTGGATGTAGATGAAGACTGTGGGTGGATATAGAGGAAAATAACTAGAGGAATATAGGAAGACACTACATAATATTAAAAATAAGGACAGGGAGCGAATAAATATAGGGAATATTGTAAGAGAAAAAGTATTCAAAAATAAATTACTTCTACCTTTATTATAATAATTATTACAGTTATTATTATATTATTAATTATTATTATTAGTAGTAATAGTAGCTATTCAAGACATACTGAAGCCAGGCAGTCAGTTTCTTTACACTGTGGGAACTGCTAGACTCTAATTCCAAATGAAAACATGAGAAAACAAATGGGAAGGTGGAATGGGAGAGGGATAGTGAGTGAGGGTGTTGGATAGTGTGGGAGGGAAGGGTAGTGGACAGGAGGTGCAAAATAAGGTGGAAGCCCTAGAATGAGAGGGGAAATGGTCTAGTTATTGATAATAAATCTATAATAATAATAGTAATAAAACTAAAAACAATAATAAATGATAAATAATGGAAAAACTGGGAGGAGATGTGAACCGTAGTTAAATTATTTGCGGAAGTTGTTGAAATAATGCGAACTGAGAAAGACGTAGGCAGACAGTCTGTTATGTACTCTATTATAGTAAAACATGAAAACCATGAAATGAATAATGGAATAACCTTAGGGAGGCTAATTAACTAGGACTCAACTAGGTTAACCTATGAGGGAAGTTGTTATATACAAACTAGACAACTGTTAGCAAAAATGTATGATACCAATGCTGGGAGCAATTCCCGACTATTTACATCATTGGAAGTAGTTGAATATGGATAAGCAGAACAGCTGTAGGTATACCTCTTCAGGTTATAGTGTGCCTACACTCATTCAGATGCTGTCTTATTTGTTCACAGGTACTCTTAATAAGCACACCACACGTGTCTATTCCTCGTGTGTAACATGATCATATTCTCCTCAGTGTATTGTCTACTCTTTCTCTTTTCCGTCTATGAACCAACTAACGCTACTACTTCTCTTCTCTCCTCTCTTCTCTCTTTCTCCTCTCTCTCCTCTCTCTTCCTCTCTTCTCTCTCTCCTCTTTCTCTCTTCTCTTCCTCTTCTCTCTCTTCTCCTCTTCTCTCTTTCTCTCTTCTCTCTTTCCTCTTTCTCTCTCTCTCTCTTCTCTTCTCTTCTCTTCTCTCTTCTTTTCTTTCTCTCTTTCCTCTTTCTCTTCTTCTCTTTCTCTCTTCCTCTTTCTCTCTCTTCTTCTTTCTCCTCTTTTCTCTTCTCTTCTCTTCTCTCTCTCTCTCTTTCCTCTCTCTTTCCTTCTCTTTCCCTCCCCTCTCTCTCTTCTTCCTCTCTCCTCTCTTCTCTCTCTCTCTCTTCTCTCTCTCCCTCTTCTCTCTCTCTCTCTTTCTCTCTCTCCTCTCTCTCTCTCTCTCTCTCTCTCTCTCCCTCTCTCTCTCTCTCTCGTTGTGGTGATGGTGACCGTCTGGGTGGGTCAGGCTGTCCACCATTACCGCATCATTCGCGTGACTACACACTCCTGCCCAACAAACTCTCCTTTTCTAAAATCTATTTACTCATCTCTCTTTCTCCTCTTCTTTTTTGTGTGGGTATATATTACGTACGTATCCAGATTTGTATAGTTTATATATATATATATATATATATATATATATATATATATAATATATATATATAATATATATAAAATTATACGCACACACACACATATAATTATACACACACACACACACACACACACACACACACACACACACACACACCACACACACACACATATATATATACGTACACACACACATGCACACACACGGCATAAATGTTGGAAGAGCAGCCATGTGAAAAAAAATGGTCGAACGGACAGAATAAAGATGGGGTACAAATGTTTCAATATTTGAACGGTATCAGCGGCAGCGATGGTGAATTACAGATTTAAGGAATACGAGAGAGGTGCGGAGGGAGGGAAGAGAGAGAGAGAGAGAGAGAGAGAGAGAGAGAGAGAGAGGAGAGAGAGAGAGAGAGAGAGAGAGAGAGAGAGAGAGAGATGTAGTTGTGGGTATGAGAGTTGTGTTGGCATGCAAGAGAGATGTGACACAGTGAATATGAAAGTTGAGATATAAGTGTGTGTGGTTGTGGACATTGAAGGTGAGGTGATGTGACATGGTGGGCGTGGCTGTGGCTTCTCTGCTCCCCTACCTGGCATGCTAATGAAGGTGAACCTCACCTGTGTGGCCGCCGCCACCTACCGCACGCCACCCGCCTGACTGATGCCAACACATCTGCGCCCTACACCTCTTAAAACCTCCAGCTACGAAGCTCTTAGTAACTTCAGTCTTCCTATGCTTTGATACGAAAGTTTCCACTTGTCACTGTATCATGTGTTGGCTGTTGATTCATCTTCATATTAGCATAAGAAAAAGGTGCAGTTCTGTTTCTCAGAAATTTGCATAAGCTTTTCAGAGGTTGTAAGATCTTATAAACTTATAAACTTATAAACACACGTACTTTCATGGTATAAAAACAACTTATTTAGAATTATTTTGGTGTGAAGTTATTTATGGAATGTTAAGCGTGATATAATGTGGCTTTGAAGACCTCTATTGTCCTCCTCGGCCGGCTTGTCACATGCTATTGATGAGGATAAGTCGGTAAAAAACACTTGGATAGTTTAGCAGAGGGACTTTTCACCAGAGTTTATAGCAGAGGACATGTTTAATTGAGTCCAAGAAGGTGAACAGCTGATACAGCTTCCTCTTAGAACTGATCCTTCTTGATACAATAAAATGATTCACCTAGTTACCTTATTTTAGGATCATTTACATATCAATAGGTTATTTAGATAATAGGCTATGTAGATAATATCTGTAGAATATGTAGATAATAAATCCAAATGGGTTTTCTTCTATTTTGTTAATAGCTCTTCTTTATTTCCTCTTTTCTCCATGGGGAAGTGGAACAGAATTCTTCCTCTATGAGCCATGCGTGTCGTAAGAGGCGACTAAAATGTCAAGAGCAAGAGGCTAGTAACAGCTTCTCCTGTATAAGTTATTAAATTTACAAAGAAAAAGTTAAGTGTTTTTTTGAAGGTCACCGTCTTGGTGGGACACTGCCGCTTAGCTGACAAAAAAATGTAGATAATATCAGTAGGGTATTTAGATAATATCAGTAGGCCATTTAAATATATCATATATCAGTAAGTCATTTAAATATAGCAGTAGGTCATTTAGATAATAGTACGTTATTTAGATAATATCTATAGGTTATTTACATATCAGAAGGTGTACAAAATATGGGTCGGTACAAGTAATAGCAGTAGATAATATTAGTGGATTATTATTAAGATAACATCACTAGATTGAGCTTGATGATTGATAAAACCTTTGTATTACTTTGATATACACAGCAGGATTAGCTAGCTGATGAGTGTGCCTTTGAGCAGACTCTTGCTGCTGGCTGCTGTGTAATGGGTGTACAACACTAGCAGCCATCAGCATAACGTGCTCCAGGGAAGGTGCTTTGAAATTAACATAGACTGGGTGGAATGACAATCTCATTTTCGACTAGGCTGATTTTTTTTTTTTTTTTTTTTTTTGTAATGAATGTAGACACTTGATGTGTGTGTGTGTGTGTGTGTGTGTGTACAGGGATTATCTATGCACACAGGGATTATCTATGCACAACTAGGCGTATGTACACACACACACTGGGTGTATCTATACACACACACTGGGAATGCTTTAGGAGCAAGGACTTCTTGGTCACTGGTTGCTGACTTAAATGCACTGGGCCAAGACTCTTAAGTCCTCGTCCTCTCTCTCTCTCTCTCTCTCTCTCTCCTCTCTCTCTCTCTCTCTCTCTCTCTCTCTCTCTCCCTCCCTCCCTCCCTCCCTCCCTCCCTCTCTCTCTCGCTTATACACAGGGTATTACACAGGGTAGCTTACTGAAGTGTATTCTATAGTGGCATGAGTGTAGTGCAGTGGGAGGAGCGTACTGTGCAGTGGGAGGAGCGTACTGTGCAGTGGGAGGAGTGTATTGTGCAGTGGGAGGAGTGTGTTGTAAAATGCAACATAGTGAAACTCGTTATATATATTGACGAGTGGTTGGTAGGAGGGAGATCATGCTTGTGGCGAGACTCTTAATGACGGATAATTACCCTCGTTAGCACAGGTAAAGTGGTGATTACGCAGACTTCATTATGGCGCCCTTGGTGTGGTGCGTATACGCGGCCACTGCCTCTAAGCTGCTTATCTTTGCTTGACGCAAATAATTGTATCAGGCTTACGCACGCGTGTGTGTGAGATAGCTAGCCAGCGTGATTTTCTACTTGAAAAGTGTGTGAAAATGTGGCTATCTTCTAGAAAAGCACGGTTAATAATCGTTCCTAGATGGGACGTTGTCTAGTATGTGACTCAGTGTTGAACGTTCATAGGACTGAG